TAAGATATAAAGAAATGGCATAATTATTATTGGAGCAAATGGATTTCCATAGAAGGGTTGTATTGGAACATGTAGTTGTACTTGAACATGGACTGTCAGTGAGTTTTCCTGAAGCTGAGAAGGAAATTCCAATAAAAGATCTTAGACTCACGATCGTCTAGTGTCTATGTACAGATTCTATATTTTTGTTAAAAACTGTATCTAATAATTTCATGTGTTTATGTGTGTGGTTGTCAGAGAACGACTTTAAAAGTCAGTTCTCTCCTACCATGTAGGTCCTGGGGTTCCAACCCAGGTGGTCAGGCTTAACAGAAAGCCCTGTGCCAGCTGAACTATCTTGCCGGTCCTGAGTCAGTCTTTCTACTTAACTATGTCCTCAATAGATACTTTTTAAAATTAAAAAAAAAACATAAATTCTTTTTAACAGGTTTTTCTCAAATATGTTTATCTCAGAGTCACAATCACCTGGGCTCAGAAGGTGGAATTTTATTTAGTCCTCTGTTTAGAAGGAACATGAGCACAGGTAAGACAGACAAAGAGCTCAGCACAGCCCTAGTTGAAGGAGCACATAAAGAGAAAATGGCACAGTTGTTGTCAAGTAAAAACAATCCCACAAATTCCAGAGCCAGCATTATAGACTCCTCTATAAGCTAGCTAGCACACCAGTGTTCAGAGAGGGAGCTCATGACCAAGAGAAATCTGGACCCAAAGGAGAAGCAGAGCAAGGGTTATAAAGCTTAAAACCACAATTATGTCAAAACGGGGGTAAAGCCAATAATCATAGTTACATCAGATCACCATAGTTACACCAGACCAGGGGCAGGTCAGTTAACAAAGAGATATACAATTAACCAAAAATTTTGGTTATGAAAAAAACAAATTTCTCAAAATGCAGAAACAGTCGGCACCATAGAGATGCAGGTGGAGCTGAGAGGGGAGACATTCTCTCTGGACCTCCTACCTGGCAACTCATAAGTTTCTCAGTATTGTAGAATCATTGTACTCCCTGAAAATACCTGCATGAGATGATCAGCCTGGCTGGCCACAGTGGGAATGGCTGGGCAGAAAGACAGGGTAAAGTAAAAGTCAGCTAGAACAAAATGGAGTTAGTTTTGCCATTTCAGAAACAAACCCTGGGAAGAGATAATAGAAATCAGGGCAGAATTTAATGAAATAAAAGAATTAAATTAATGAATCTAAAAGCTGGTTTTAAAAATAAAAGTGTGACAGACCCTGAGCTGCATTAATGAAAAGAAAGAGAAATGCCAGGCATGGTGGTGCATGCCTTTGATCCCAGCACTCAGGAGGCAGAGGCAAATGGGTCTCTGTGTTTCAGGCCAGCCTGGTCTACATAGTGAGTTTCAGGCAAGCTGGGGCTACAGAGACATGCTGTCTCAAAAAGACCAAAAAAAGAAAGAAGACACCCAAATTCATAAGTTAAAAAAAAATCATTCGTGTGTGTGTGTGTGTGTGTGTGTGTTTCGAGACAAGGTATCTCAGTAGCTCCAGCTGAAACTCACTATACTCACTATGGAGACCTGCTGTTTTGATTTCACAGAGATATTCCTACCTCTGCCTCCTGAGTGCTGGGATTAAAGTCATAGACTACCACACCCAACCATATACATATATAGTTTTAATGATGTTAACCCACACAGTGGCATAATGCAACCCCCGGGAGCTATAGACTAAAAAAACATCATTGCACAGCATGAGATACCTCCCTTGGGGTTATTGGTCAGGGAGCTCCAAGATCTACAAAACAATATAAGCTATTGACTTGCTCTTGGTTGCCCTACAGAACATCAAGGTAACACCCTGTTGCTGAAGACACCACACACTTTGGTCAAAGGACCTGGAGAAATCAACCTAGTAATGATATGGAAGCCTCTTCATTGAGAGCTGGCTCTCATAGTGTTTGAAGGTGTTATGCAAGATGTTAAGGGAGAAAAGTAACCAATGTTCTACCCAGCCATGATGCCTGAGAAACACAATGACAGGTCTGACAAGATAACCCTGCTGTACAATAGTGACACTTGTACCTTGGAAGCAATAAGCAAATATCTAACATAACCTCAAAGGCCCACAATTGGAGGGAACTAATGCTGGTAGTATAAAACTAGCCAAGAACCCCTGGATGGAGAGGGTATTGGCCTTAGAGTAGAACCTTTCACTCCCATATCTTCCAGCTGTCTTTTACTTACTCATCCTTAAAGATAAATAGAGCTCTCACATCTTATCAAAGAAGTTTCTTTTCACAGCAGTTGAAGGCTGATAGACAGTTCCACAACTGGTCAAAATGCAGAAGATAAATGACCGTGGGGAGACTAATTCCTAATGGGACATCAATACAACATTCTGTATCCCTAAATATAAGGAAGCATCATGGAAGAAGGGGACAGTAAAAGAGCCTGAAGCTCAAAACAATTGCTGTGTGATAGCTTCTTATGAACAACACGAGAACCTTGCTCCCATGAACAAGACATGCAAAGGCCAAGCACCCATCGACATGCCAAAACAGTTAAAGAAATATTTGACAAGGACACACCATAGATGAAGTGCTACAGGCAGTCAGGGGATGCTGAGAGAAGGAGAACCAATTTGTTTAGGTTTTGGTTTGGTTTGGTTTGAAGAGGTAGTTGGAGGAACAGGGAACGAGTTGGAGAGGGAAGAAGTGAGTAGAAATGATAGAAATGATGTGCACATAGTGTGTTCATCTATGAAATCCTCAAACATAAGGAGGCACGATATTTACAATGTCAAAGCCAAAAGAACAAATCATAAGTAAATGACTACTCATCACTAAAAATTGCTGTAAAGGAAATCACAAGTGAAGACACTACATGATCTTAAAGATGGAGAAAAAAATTGACTGTGCCATCATTATAAAGAAAACTGACAATGACGAACATGGTTATGGATGAGAACACATTACAACATCAGTACTGAATTTCTTGGGCTTGATCATTTTAGTATAATCTTATAGGAGAAATTGCTTGTCCTTGGAGAATATTTAGGTACAGTTTGGGTATTACCGTAATAATATTTATTATTATTATTATTATTATTATTATCACTTGTGTTCTCCAGATAGGTGCTTACTCTGTAGTCCAGGATAACCTCAAACGTGCTATGTAGCATAGGCTGACCTCAAACTTATCCACCTATAAGATCACAAGCCTGAGCCAAAACATCTAGCTGGCCTCGATTAGTATTACTGTATCAACAAATGGTTCAGCAAGAGATGAGCTAGAGACCATGGAAAATATAAGCAACCTATGATTATTGGTAAGGCTTGTTTGAGAGTTCCTTGAAATACTCTTGAAACTATTCATCAAGTTTTAAATTATATTTTATGGAAAAAAATCTTTTTAAAGATGACATTTTCAAAATGTAAAAAATAACACATAGTAACCAAAAAATAAGCAGAAACAGAGGTACATTGTAGTAACCTTGTGATGGTTTGAATGAAAATGTCTCTCACAGGCTCCCCGTAATTGGACACTTTTGTCCCCACCAGGTGGTGCTGTTTTGGGAGGTTTTAGAAGGTGTGGCTATCCTGGAGGAAGTATGTCACTGGGGGTGGGCTTAGATAATTCTTAAGCCTTGCTAGGATCTCCAGTTGTTGTCTTGTTTCCTGTGCCTGCTGGAAGATGTAGACCTTACCTTCCGAATCACCTCCTCTTCTCCAGCCACCTCTGCCACCATGCCTCCCCGCTAGGATGGACTGTCATTCCCCTGGAACCATAAGCTCAAATAAATTCTTCCTTCTATAAATTGCTTGGATCAGTGTTTCTCTCACAGCAACAGAAAAGTGACTAATACAAACCATGTCATCAAAGACAAAAGATATTGAAATGATTTATCCTATTGTAATGAAATAGCCATTTATCAGAATTTTTTATTTGGTTCTGTGGGTGGCTCAGGACACAGAAAGCGATTCCTCAGGACCTTGGAGCAAAGGATGCCCACCCTCCAGACAAGCTGCTCTGTCTCCTCCAGGAAGGAAAATGGCTATGATCTGGTAAGTCAGATTCCAGAAGGTCATTACCCTCCTCCTCCAGCTCCTCTCTCTGTTTGCCCAGTTGACTAAATCTTGTGGTCAGAAACATTTCATTGTGAGCAGTCACAGACTACTACAGGAAACACAAAAATGACAATGTTCTGTGTCTACATTTCCTTCTTGTTGCACACTGAATCAGAGAACGTATCCATTCTCTTTTCACAGATGCACGGGTAGCTTTTACTGCAGTCAGTATTGTCTATTCTTGTTGAAGTCAAAAATGCACACATTCCTGTTGAATGATTTAAATTCAATGCTGTCAAATCGCTGTAGAACAAGAAACATAATGGGCAATTATTTATGGTTGAGACTTACACTGAGGTAAATTGTGTTTTTTTTTTAAAAAAATTCTGTTAGTAAAAGCCAGGCATGGTGGCGTATGCCTTTTGATACCAGCACAAGTGAGGAAGATCCTGGTAGATCTCTGTAAATTCAAGGCCAGCACAGTCTACATAGGTAATTCTGGGCTAGCTGGGGCTACAGGATGACCCTGTCTCACAAAGACCAAAAAAAAAAAAAATCCTATTGGTCAAAATTTACAGAATATAGAAATATTAATTATAAATTCATCACTAAAAGATTTTCTTTCTCATTAAGCTCATTAAAAAGAAAAAGCCACTTGATTGCATCCAAATCCTAGTATAAAATAAATATATTTAATATCTTTCAAGACATAAATGACAGTGGACCAGACACAGGGAGACAGGCCTGTCATCCCAGCCTTTGGGTGGTAGAGGAAGGAGGACCAGGCATTCAAGGCCACCTTGCTCTGCATGAAACCCCTTCTTATACCAACAACAAATTAATGAAAGTTAAACTGATTATTAAAAAATGTAAAAGGGAATTTGAAAATATAAATAGCTAGCAAAGTTATTTAAAAACAAACACAGAATTCCTAAGGACAAAAGTATAATTATATTTCTGAAACAATCAATAAATAGTTCTGTAGCAGATTAGAAGCAAATGTGAACTTCATAATTTACATGACTGCACATAAAATTGGGAAATATAAATACATTATGTGTGCATGCATTTATTTGAATATTCATAAATAAACATAAAAACTATATGTGTCACATGAGTGTGGGGAATACTAAAACTCATATCTGTCAGGATGATCTAGTCACTTCAAATCACCTTAAAATTTTGATTTGGTTTGATGCCGCGCATCTTAGAACATACTTCAGAGCTTCTGTTAGACATTCCATTGCTTATATTGGTATTAGGAATTATAAGCCTGTTTCTCTTCCTTTTTAAACAGCTTGCTCAGATACTTCCTTATTCTTCTTGTTCTTACCACTGACCTCCATTTTAAATGAGTAAAGCTGTATGAAATTTTAGGATACTCTTTTAAGGTCATTTCAGCTCCCACAACAGAGTTAGAGTCTGAATGGTTCCACAAACTCACAGGTTAGATGAGCCACTGTCAATCCATTTCCATTTCTCTTCCTGTTTATCATATGATAATCCTATCCAATAACTGTCTCCATTAACCTGGGACCATAGGAAGTCCTGAAAAGGAAATAAAATACATCTTATGATGAAGTTCTCCTCTGTGAGCTGATTAACAGAACAACAGGAAAGGGCAGGGCTGTTCTTGTGAGTTCTCTGCTGCCCTGTCCTCTCTCCCCTCAACCCTCTATTTTTCACTTTCTAAAGTGATTTTCCATTGGTAGAACAGTTAAGTCAAAATTAGTATCTGTTTCAGAAGTAATTTGAGAGGTAAAGTTTAGGTATCTAACAATTCCTAAAGCCATTTTTGACTGCAACTTCTCTTTTGAGATGTGCTCTTAATTCACTCTAGCCTTGAATTTTCCATCCTCCTGCTTCCAGTTTCCAAGTACACAGGCAAATCTGCCCATTAAATGATTCTGATACTTTAAGGAACCATTTAAACTCTTTTTTCCAGAAGAACAAGGGCTGTGGGGAAGTGGTCATTGCATCATCTTCAGTGACAGGAGGGATCGTCAAAGCAAATTAAGATGAAAAGTGTGTATGAAAAAAGTGCATCAAAACTCCATTTTTCACAGAAGAAACATTTCCATTGTTCAACGTCTAGACAATTAAACAACAAAAAGAAGGAAAGGAGAGATATTTCTGACTTTAATGTGGCATTCAACATTGTTTACAAAAGCCAAGGCATACAAAAAAACTTTAATGTCCAATCATTGATAGGTAAGTAGAGAAAATGAAGGACACCTATATAGAAGAGTACTATTCAACATTTAAAAGGAAGAAAATCCACCTGGGAATGGTCAATCATACCTATAATCCCAGCCTAAAGCAGGAGATAATCACCATTCTGAGTCCAACCAGCCCAAGATACAGAATTAAGACCCTGTCTCTCACCTCTCCCATAAAAAGACAAATCCTAACATATGTGAGAATGTATATGAATTTGAGGAAATAATGCTAAGTGAAATAAGCCAGGCACAGAAACACACATACTGCATATTTTCTCTCATGCAGAATCTAGATTTCAGTTGCACATGTCAAAAGTTGTCCAAACTCCATTCATTTAAAATTTTGCTCAGATGTATGTTAAGTGTTCTTACCATAAAAGGAAAAAAAGAGACAGATGAAGAAGCATTTGACGAAGTTAGTCAGTTCTCCTGATTGTGGTGATGGTTTCACTGGTATGTCTGTATTCCCAAACGTATCAAGCTGAATACATTACGATATGTGCCATTTTGTGGAGCAATAATAGCACAATAAAATTGAGATATTTCTGTGTGATGCTTGGGATAACAACAGTGTACTAGTCATGTCCAGCCCTTGTTTTCCTAGGTGACAAGTTAGCTCAGGCTGGTTTTGAACTTGCTGTGTACTCCACAATGATCAAAATTTGCCATCCTCCTGTCTCAGTTTCCTAATTGTTTGGATTATAGCATTATGCCCTTATATACACATAATAAAGCTATTTTAAGATTATAAACTAAAAAATTTAGTTCAGAGATACCAAGAGCATTAATTTTGGAGGTTTTTTCATATATTTTACAGTGTACCAGTTTTAAAATATTATTGATCATTTAATAGTGAAGATAATCAATTCCTGCTATCATAGAACAGTGAGATTATACACAAAGCTCTTTGTAAACTAAATTCTGAACAAATGATGAATAATTATTGATTACTGAATTAAAGATAACCAGTCACTATGAAAAATAGAAAAGTTTATTGATATTTCATATCATCATCTCTCGGGCATGATTGCATGAAGATGCACAAGTGTGGACGCTATGATAAAGCTCGTGTACGTGCTGCAGGGAGGATATTTCAGTCACAGATAGGTCAACTATCTGAAGCAAAGACAGAATGAAAACATGTGCACACATATACACATACAATTATTTTTATAATTGCACTCATATAAAATCCCGTGAGTCATTCTTAGCCTCATTATTTAGTAAATATACTCTTACGGACAGCTTCCATATTCCATGTCACAGAGTGGGAGACTCGGATTTGCTCACAGGAGCAAAGTGAACTGAATTTTCAGGAGAGAGGACACACTGTTTCATCTCCTACAGGCAACAGGAATACCAGACTGGCTCTGAGTGATGGAATCTACAAGTTTCTACTAATCCGAAGAGGTTTAGGAGGATCCAGTTCTCTACCTAAATAAGGAAGCCCACGTATATTTAAGAGAGCCACATTGCCCATGAACCCACAGGTCATGAGCTCATACACTGCATGTTACATCTCAAAGCTTGGAGAGAAGAAACAGTATGAAATAATTTGGTATTTTATTCAAGATTTCCTCCATACCTGTAGACTTTAAACAATTTGAAATGATCTTATTTTTCCCATGACATCTCTTCCTTTCTGTTAGGTTTTTGAGGCTCTCATACTTTATAGACTTATTTTTCAACATTTTTTCCCTTTAACTTCATTACATATAACATGATGTGGTACTCTTGACTGAGGTCTAGAATTTCCTGGTGATGCTTTGCTTGAATGTGCTGAAAAACTAAAACTAATATCAGATATAATATGAAAAATGATTATAAAGGAGACAAAACTGAAAATTAAGAGAAAACCTCTGGTTAACTACTGACCTATATCATGATTTGGTTAGTACTTCAACATATAGAATGTAACACCTCAATTGGCCATAGAAATGGAATCAGTAAAAAGCAAGAATTCATCACTATCAATTGTGTGTAAAAGAAATGAGTATTTGAATTAAATTATGATAGGAACTCCTTACATTTCAATTCCTTCATCTTTTCACAGAAAATAACTTACAAATAAAACCAAAGGAAAAAAATTAGCCAACACAATGCATTATGAAAATAAGAACATGAAGAAATGGCATAATTATTATTAGAGCAGATGGAATTTCCATAGAAGGGTTGTATCGGAAATTGTAGTTGTAGTTGTACATGGTATCAGTGAGTTTTCCTAAAGATGAGAAGGAAATTCAAATAAAAGATAAAGCTTAGACTCAAGATCTTCTAGTGTCTATGTACAGATCCTCTTTTTTTCTTTTTTTTTTGGAAAATTACATTTATTTATTTTGTGTGTTTATATGTGTGTGGTCATCAGAGAACAACTTTAAAAGTCAGTTCTCACCTACCATGTAAGTCCTGGGGAGCCAACCCAGGTTTTCAGGCTTAAAAGAGAGCACTGTGACAGCTGAACTATCTTACTGGTCCTGATTCAGTCTTCTTACTTAACCATGTCCTTAACAGATACTTATAAAAAATCAGAAAAATAACCCATAAATGCTTTTGAAAAGCTTTTTCTCAAATGTATTAATTTCAGATTCACAATAACCTGGGCACTGAAGTTGGAATTTTATTCAGTCCTTTGTTAAGAAGGAACATGACCAAGGGTAAGACAGATCAAAAAGCTCAATGCACCCCTAGTTAAGGAGCACATAAAGAGAAAAGGGCACAGTAGTGTGTTGAGTAAAAAAATAAAATAAAATCCCTCAAATTCCAGAGCCAGCATTATAGACTGGATATTAGATGGAGTGTGTTAGTAACTGCGTGGTTAGTGTCCATAGTTATAATTTAAACAAAATGGTTTTTAAAAAAATCATATATTTCAATTACTCACTCTGTGTTGCCCACAGTGCAATCACCACCAACAGAAGGAAACAAAGGATCCCAAGAACCACTGCAATGAGAAGCCAGGAGATTGAGCACTCTTCAAAAAGTAAGAACGGCAGAAAATCATCACAAGGGAAAGAGCATGCATGACCCATACTAATCACAACGTGGAGGATCAGGAGTTCAAGGTCACCCTTGGCTATATTCCAAAATCAAGACCAGTCTAGTCTACATTAGATCCTGACTCAAAAAGTCAAAACAAACAAAAATGCATTCATTTCTCCCTTCTCAAAACCTTCTATAAAAAGCCTTGTATTGTACAGCTTTATGCATTTTGATCTGTTACCAGCAGACAGTCAGAAGTGCAGGTAGGATGTTTTTCAAATGTGAAAATTTACCATATACTGCAAAGAGAAAATTTAGGTGATCAAAACACACACCTCTGTCTTCAGTCTCTTTCGGCCCTTGAGTACCAGCAGGTTTTACTCTACTCTGCTGCTCTGAAGAAGACTTAAGAAATCCTGAGTTAGAATAAAGCTCTTCCTGCTCACTCATCTTGGAAGTAAGTGAAGTATCAAAACTTTGCATTGGGCTGATTTCAGGCTAAAGAAAAATTAAAATGCAACCTTTAGGAACATTTAGGATTTAGTGCTGGGGTGGAGGGGTGCAGCCAGGTGTTATTACCTCCTTTAGTGATCTAAAACTGCAGAGCATATGGACTCAGTCTGATTTACAAGAAAATCTTTTTAAAATTCACCTTATGACGTTTATATGTCTAGTGATCTCAGCAATGATCAGGGAATACAGAAAAACTTTAAAATGTACTAATAAGGTACCGTCTATTGACACAGCAAAATTCATTCAAAATATTTAACATAAAAAGATTGGCAAAAGTGATGCCACATTAAATCACTTGAAGTCAAAACTTTTAAGCTATTAAAAAATAAAAATACTCAAAACTTTCCAAAAATAAATACTTTTGCTTTAAAAATATTTGCAAAATTTTTTATTCATATTCATTGAACATATTCTTTTGTTCTTTTCAATTTCATATGACTTTATCTGCGTTTCCCAAGCTGTATCCCAGAAAACATCTGCAAAAGAATTATTTGAAAGTTAATACTGCAGAAGATTAACATTTCAGATTCCCCATGTTATAAGTAAAAGTCTCCTGAGTTAAATAGCCCAAACACATGTATTTTTAATCCCAAATAATTTTACGTACACGAACACTTCATAAGTCACATTCCAGTATATGGTGTTGTCAGAGGACCCTATGTTAAAACAAAGCATTTCAATAGGTAGTTGTATCCAATATGATCATGGAAAGTAATATAGAAATTATTAAATATTATTTATAGTTTACCTTGCTTCCTACATTAATCAGCACAAGATATTCAACAGATAAACAGAAGAAAACAAATGTTTTATGTCTAATATATCTAATAAGTATCTTAATTTATGATATATTCTAAACTCATTCATACTTAGCTAATTCTGTAAGAGAAGGGAATCATCCTATTACAGAATTTTTCAAAGTAGATTGAGATCATATGTAATCATTTAAACTAATTTAAAAGTAATTAACTCTGAAAAACCATTTGTGATGCACACAGCAAAAGTCACAGCACAGTTAGAAAGAGTAAATAACTTTATTCAGTGCTGAAATACAGCTTTCATGTTCATATTAAACGCTGTTCTAACATGATCAGTATGAATTTTCCTGTCTCATTCTTTTGTCACAACATTTGAATTAAAAGCTTTTTCTGGGGAATAAATAGAATAACATGATGCAAAAACGGGTGGGAATAAAAGCAGCTGTTACCTGTATCTCAGTGATGCAGTGGAGGGAACTGCTCCCCAGGCAGGGAGGAGCGGGCCTTTCTGTCCTGTACCCCTCAGAGGCTTCAAGGCCAGAGGCAGAAATGCATTGCCTCAGAGGGACCCAACAGCTCAAGATGTTCGGCCCCTCCTCTTGACCAAAGTGAAAAGAGGAAATTAGGTGATGAAAGCTGATGCTGAACGGGAGGGAAAGATGGTAGCAAAGTCCATATTCCTTTATTTGAAACAAGCATGCTGCAAAATCATGTTCAAAGTTATTTGAGTACCAAAAAGATAAAGGAACAGGTCTTAGAAAAACACTGCTGGATGGAACATCTCTCAAAATGTCCTGTACCTGTGGTGAGTCACCTGTCTTCTTGTTCAAGGAGGACACGGAGACCTTACCAGATAGACTTGAACCAGTGTCCAGTCTACAAAGAGGAGGGTCAACTCAGATGAAACACCTTTTCAGCTTCCAAGTGACGCCACACATGGTGAAGCAGGACCTTTGAGCTAATTCTTGACCCATGTTTAAAATAAGACCGTATTCAATATAGAGATCATGGACAAACTATGGATTCAGACATTCTGAGGTTTCAGCAAATCACTTGCCACAGAGCACAAGTTCTGGAACTGAAGGGACGTGCCTGGAAATATCAGCTGGAGCTCCCCACTGACATCCAGAATTCTCATAATTCTCTAAGTCTTGGAGCCATCACTACTAATTGCCTTCAAGGTTGCTGTGATTTTTATATACGATACATAAAATAGTGCTTGACCATAACTTGGCAACTGTGTCGAGGTTTTCTTTGAACATTAAGTATTACTTGAATTTAGATTAACTCAAAGATTAAAATCCTTTCACAGTGATGAAAATGTGAGCACGCTCTCTAAGTGTTCAAACTATTTTTTCACAGGTTCAACAAGAGAACTGCCTACTTAAAGGGCTAATAGGAATTAAATAAATTTAGCGCTTCAGGCAAAAATTCTTAGATTAAAAAAATAGTTTTGATTGTTACTTTGGTCTCCTAAATTTCAGCAAAGTTGACCCACCAGACCTGCAATTTAGAAATGCTGACAGCATGTTTGAATATGATTTGTCCCAATAAACACTCATGTTAAGTCAGGCCTGGTGACACATTCCTGTAATCCCACTACTCAGGAGGCAGAAGTAGAAGGATTGCCACTAATTCAAGGACACTACTGAGAAATAATTGTGTAAATCACATTTTACCTGGACTTAAGTCTAATGTCTGGGAAATGCAAACCTTTGGACTCTTAAAGAAATATACTTATCACTATAATTTTTGGTTATACTTTCTTTTGGGGGGTTTACAACCATGCATTTGGCCCAAAAAACCAAATTACTTTTACTTTAAGGTTGGCTGAGGATCTGGTCTTCAGGGGACACATGGGTTTGGGAGGAACCCCCTGGCTCCTTAGGCCTTTTACCAGTTTCATCCATGTGAAGATAAGTCAAGAGGTCCTGCTCGACCAGTGCTTCGCTTGGAAGCATGCGGGAGATGTTTCCTCTCTGTTGACCCTCCTCTTTGCACACTGGAAACTGGTTTGAGTCGCTTTGGTGGGGTCTCCATGACTTCCCTGAACAAGAGGACGGGTGATTCATGACAGCCACAGGACATATCAAGAGATTCCCACAGTCCCCTAGGACACTGTCAAACTTCCAGGGCAAGAAACAAAACTGTCCCATAAGCCCCTTTGTCCAGATTAGTATGGGCTTTTAGGTATGGTTATTAACCATCCAAAAGGCCAGTTGCACCAGCCTTTAAATACTGTGTAATATATAGATAAGTCTTGAACAAAGCCCAAACATTCTCATAAACATTGACTGGAAGAGATTTATCATCACAGGTTAACTAGGCCAAGTACAAGAAAGGGACCTTAAAACAAAAATTTCCCAAGTCTGTCTCAATTAGAAAACAATGTTTAAATGAAAACAGTGAACATTAGGAGACCATAATCACTTCGGACAGCATTCGTGAAAATCCCAGCGTGGCATAACAAAGTGTAGCACAAACTGGACTTGCCAAACTTTATCACAACTGGTTAATACAACAGAAAGAAGAGAAATTTCAAGAATGTTTTTAATTTTCTTGATTAAAATTCTAATTGAATTGTGTCTTCTAATTTCTTTCTTTCTTTCTTTTTTACAAAACCACACATAAACATAAACATACAATAACTTATCTGGCTTTGGCTTCTTGTTGCAAAAGCCTTTTTTTCTTTTTTTTAAATTTGGGAAACCACATCTTCTGCCCATAGTTTGGCAAGGAGACAGTCAGCTAGAAGCTGTGCACATTTCTAGTCCCACATTCAAATTTCTGGTCACACCTTAGAGGTCAGTGGCTTTATCATTTCACAGCTACAAGCTGTTCTTCCTGTCCAAGGCTGAGGCTTACACTGGAATAACCACCAGCTCACAGAGAAGGGTGGTCTGAATCACGTCACAGGGAGAAGCGGCCAGTCCTGGTAACTTCTCATCTCTGGCTTCTTCTGTCCTAATATCTAATTTTCACGACCCTGAAACCATCACAACTCTTAAAACAAAAACACAAGAAGCTCTCTAATTTGAGGTTTCCTGTTACTCTAACCACCCCATTTGTCCAGCTATTTGCAATCACAGATGTTCTAATATTGTGTGTTGTAACGTCCTAGCTAGATGGTCCTCAGTGGGCTTCAGGCAGTGCAAACAATAAGTGAGAAAGATGCTTCAGGAATTCAGTAAGAGAAATAAAAAAGAATCACAAAAGAGGGTTTCAGATGGATATTTGTGCTCTGTGCCACTAAGAGATGAAATCAACTTACAGATTTAAAAAGAAAAGAGTTAAGTACCAATCCAGGATTCAGAATGATGCCCCTTCAGTCAATGAACACTGACTGCATTGTATCAGTTCAGAAAACTGGGACAGTACAGATGCTGGAGCACTTAGTTAGCTCCAAGTCCCCTGCTCCTCATCTGCAGAGCTCCAGACCCAGCTCATGCCTCCTCAAAGCATTTTACTGAGACAATGTCTAATGTAGCCAAGGATGGCCTTGAACTGGCTCTGTAGCCAAGACATGCATGGAACTCCTGATACTCCTGCATCCAATGCTTGAGTGATGGGATGCATGGTCTGAGTGCCATCTTGAAAGATTGAAATCTAATTATTACAGTAATCATAAGAATCAGAGGTTGCAATTACAAGAAAGCCCTTTATCACAGATCTCACAGGTCTAATAATAATATATTTAAATAATATCAGCTGTAATTTATATTCATATTTAAAATGGTTATATAATGAGACCCAGCTCATATTATATTGGGTACTCTCTTTTGGTACTTTAACTGGAGAAAGAGGAGGTCTTAAAAACTGACTGAAAAATACACATAAATTATCTGAACATGAGTGCATGTGTGCAACTGAAAGCTAAATAGCAAGAAACACAGTGCCAGAGAGGAGAAACTTCCCTTCAAGTTGTTGGTCAGGGTGTTCTGACAGCCTCCCAAAATAACACTGGCTATGGCCCCACCACTAGATTACCTCCCAGAATTTGAAGGTGAGACCCTACTGCTGATGACAGGACATACTTAAGAAAGAGGAGGTCAGCCAATATAGCTGGAACTGACCTGGAAACTTACTCCAACTAGCTCTCCTAGTTCTGTGGGATACAATGTAAGCTGCTAAGGGAGAAAATCAATAAATGCCCCAACCCAGATTTAAAAGCTAATAACCACAACAATAACTGACATAACAAACTGTATTGGAACAGTAGTAGCACTTCTTTTTAACTTGCAAAAAAAATTTGTTGAGAATTTCATAAATGCATATAAGGTGTTTTTATCAAATTCATGCCCACTACTTCCCCTCCAACATCACCAATACTCCCCTTCATTTTTTTCTGAAAACTTCCTTTATTCTTTCTTTCTTTCTTTCTTTCTTTCTTTTTCTTTCTTCCTTCCTTCCTTCCTTCCTTCCTTCCTTCCTTTCTTCTTTCTTTCTTTCTTTCTTTCTTTCTTTCTTTCTTTCTTTCTTTTTCTTTTCCCCCTTCCATCCTCCCTTTCTTTCTTTTAACAGGTTTTTTTGCTACTCTAACATTTTCCGCTCTGAAGAGATAACCCTAAAACAGTTTGGGGATTAAATAACAGCTCCCAAATATGTTTGACATTTTTGGTTGTTGGAACAGAGTATGTTGGTAAGAGGCCCCAGGACATTTTGACTTTTACCCAAGAAACTGGCTGCATTTCTTTGGGGTCTTCTTACCCAAACTGCTTAGCCAAATCCTACATCCTATTCTTATCACACCATCCTTGGAAGAGGTTACCCAAATTGCCAATAGGGAATTGGGATGTAGACCGCTCTGGCTTCTTCCATGCTGAACAGGGACGCAGGGTGAGGCAATTGGGGTACCCCTTCAGCAAGTCTATCTAAAAGACTCAAAATTTGCATAACTCTTATCAGTAGGGAGAAAAGAAAGTCTGTGACTGGTGAATAGGGGATATGAAGGAGAAGTAAAAGCAAGAGTAGTTAGCATTACAAGTTCTAGACAAGGACCCAGAAAAAAGTCAGAAAAGGGTAAATTTCAAATATTCATATGAGAGTTTATAGGGATTTCTTGATGAGAGTTTCCAAAAGCATCCCTCTATTGGGTTCCTCCTCATTTTTCTTTTGTCTGCCAAGGCTCGTCTCGAAAGTGATGGACTCAGGATTTGTTTTCAGGCACTTTGATAGCTTTTGGAGTGGCTAGAATCAGTGTCAGTTCACTCTCAAAGGCTTCTAGATAGGGGGAGAAAACAAATTTAGCTATCATTTTAGAACAGTGGTGGGTTGCCTTCCTTAGCTCCAAGTGGGCAGTATAGTATTGCAGACCAAGATTAGAAGTCTTACATCTGAGCAGCAATTTCTGCTTAGAATCAAAATCATCAATGAGCAATAATTGTCTAAATAACATTTTATATGGACTTAAGCCTACTGTCTGGGAAGTGTAATCCCTTGAACTCTTAAAGAAATATACTAATCACTTGAAATACACTTGCAACTATTCATCAAGTTTGAAATTATATTTTATGGAAAATAAATATTTTTAAAATGGTATCTTCAAAATGCAAAAAATAATACACAGTAACCAAAAAATAAACAGAAACACAGGTACATTGTAGTAACCATGTGATGGTTTGAATGAAAATGTCCCCCATAGGGTCCAAGTATTTGGGCATTTTTGTCCCCACATGGTGGTGATGTTTTAAGAAGTTTTAGAAGGTGTGGCTATCCTGGAGGAAGTATGTCACTAGGGGTGGGCTTAGAGAATTTTTAAGACTTGCTGGGTCTCCAGTTGTTCTCTTGTTTCCTGTGCCTGCTGGAAGATGTAGAGCTTATCTTCTGCTCCTCTTCTCCAGCCACCTCTGCCACCATGCCTCCCCATCAAGAGGGACTGTAATTCCCCTGGAACCATAAGCTCAAATAAATTCTTCCTTCTATAAACTGTTTGGGTCAATGTTTCTATCATAGCAAGAAAAAATGAATAATACAAAACATATCATCAAAGACAAAAGATACTGAAATGATTTATCCTATTGTAATGAAATATCCATTTATCAGGATTTTTTATTTGGTTCTGTGGGTGGCTTGGAACACAGAAAGAGTGATTTCTCAGAATCTTGGAGCAAAGGATGCCCACCCTACAGACAAGCTGCTCTGTCTCTTCCAAGAAGGAAAATGGCTATGATCTGGAAAGGCAGATTCCAGAAGGTCATTACCCTCCTCCTCCAGCTCCTCTCTCTGTTTGCCCAGTTGACTAAATCCTGTGGTCAGAAACACCTCACTGAGAGCAGTCACAGACTACTACAAGAAACACAGAAATGACAATGTTCTGTCATTACCTTTCCTTCTTGTTGCACACTGAATCAGAGAATGTGACCATTCTCTTTTCACAGATGCAGGGGTAGGTTTTACCACAGTCACTATCGACTATTCTTGTTGAAGTAAAAAATGCACACATTCCTACTCGACGTTGTAAATTAAATGATGTCAAATTGCTGTAGAAAAAGAAACACAATGTGCAATTATTTATGGTTGATGTTTAAGTTGAGGTAAATTGTGTTCTTTTTTTTAAAAAAAAAATCTCTTAGTAAAAGCCAAGCATGGTGACAAGGCTTTGATCCGAGCACGCATGAGGCAGAGCCAGGCAGATCTCTGGAAATTCAAGGCCAGCCTGGTCTACATAGGTAATTCTGGGCGAGCTGGGGCTACAGGAAAACACTGTCTCAAGAAGACCAAAAAAAAAAATCCTATTGGTCAAAATTTACAGAATATAGAAATATTAAATATTAATCATAAATTCATCACTAAAAGATTTTCTTTTTCCCTAAGCTCATTAAAAAGAAAAAGCCACTTGATTACACAAATCCCAGTATAAAATAAAAATATTTAATGTCTTTCAAGACATAAATGACAGCGGATCAGATACAGGAAGACAGGCCTGTCATCCCAGCCTTTAGGTGGTAGAGGAAGGAGGACCAGGCTTTCAAGGCCACCTTGCTCTACATGAAAATCCATCTTATACCAACAACAACAAAATAGTGAAGGCCTAAACTGATTATTAAAAAATATAAAAGGGAATTTGAAAGTTATTTAAAGAGAAATACAGAATTCCTAAGAAAAAAAGTTTAATTATATTTCTGAAACAATCAATAAATAGTTCTGTAGCAGATTAGAAGCAAATGTGAACTTCATAATTTACCTGCACATAAAATTGGGAAATATAAATACATAAGTATGTGTGCATATGCATTTATTTGAATATTCATAAATAAACATAAAAACTATATGTGTCACATGAGTGTGGGGGATACTAAAACTCATATCTGTCAGGATGATCCAGTCACTTCACATCGCCTTAAATTTTTTATTAGGTTTGACGCCGTGCATCTTAGAACATACCTCAGAGCTTCTGCTAGGCATTCTACTGCTTATATTGCTATTAGGAGTCATAATTTTTTTCTCTTTCTTTTCAAACAGCTTGATCAGATACTTGCTTATTCTTCTTGTTCTTCCCATTGACCTCCATTTTAAATGAGCAAAGCTGTGTGAAATTTTAGGGCACACTTATAAGGTCATTTCAGCTCCCACAACAGAGTTAGAGTTTGAATGGTTCCACAAACTCACAGGTTAGATGAGCCACTGTCAATCCATTTCCATTTCTCTTCTTGTTTATCATATGATAATCCTATCCAATAACTGTCTCCATTAACCTGGGACCATAGGAAGTCCTGAAAAGGAAATAAAATACATCTTATGATGAAGTTCTCCTCTGTGAGCTGATTAACAGAACAACAGGAAAGGGCAGGGCTGTTCTTGTGAGTTCTCTGCTGCCCTGTCCTCTCTCCCCTCAACCCTCTATTTTTCATTTTCTAAAGTGATTTTCCACTGGTAGAACAGTTAAGTCAAAATTAGCATCTGTTTCACAAGTAATTTGAGAGGTAAAGTTTAGGTATCTAACAATTCCTTAAGCCATTTGTGACCGTGACTTCTCTTTTGAGATGTGCTCTCACTATGTAGCCCACTCTGGCTTCGAATTCTCAATCCTCCTGCTTCTGGATTCCAAGTAAACTGGAAAATCTGCCCATTATATGATTCTGATACTTTAAGGAACCATTTAAACTCTTGTTCCAGAAGAACAAGGGCTGTGGGGAAGTGGTCATTGCATCATCTTGAGTGACAGGAGGGATCGTCAAAGCAAATTAAGATGAAAAGTGTGTAAGAAAAAAGTGCCTCAAAACTCCATTTCTCACTGAGGAAACATTTCCGTTGTTCAATGTCCAGACCACATAAGAACAAGAAGGAGAGGAGAGATATTTGTGACTTAAATGTGGTATAATGTGACTTACACATATTATCACAGTGCCATGAAGTCTAAATTGATGAATTTTTTTAAAATACAGGTTTTAATTTAACAACATTACTACATAATTGGAAAATTATTTCACTATTTATGATTAATAATTATTTAATGTTATAATTTCTAAAATCTATGAAATTTGGGATATTTTCACAGCACTTTCATTTACAAAGTAATAGAGGATTCAGGACTATCCTTGCAAGTTATTCCCTATAAAAACACATTCTGGTGCTAGAGAGATGACTCAGTGTTTAAGAGCATTGACTGTTCTTGCAGAGTACCCAGGTTCAGGTCCCAGCACCCACATGGCTGCCAACAACTGTCTGTAACTTGAATTCCAGGGGTTCTTAACCCTTGTCTAGTGTCCTCAGGTGCTCCACGTATGGGTTCACTTACATATATGTTGGTAAAACACTCATAAACAAAAAATTAAAAATAAATAATTTTTTTTTCAAAAATCATATGTAATTTATTTAGTAATAAACTTAACAGAGAGTTCTGTATCAAGGCCACTATATTTTCTCTTCTAGTAATTCTCTTTCAAGGATAGACAACTTTATACAGTACTTAAGAATACTGATGTGGTAAATGTTATGGACGGATGTAATGAATACGACCATGGGGTCACTAGTAAAACTGTCATGATGTCCATGATCTTTACTATCATGTCTATTTGAAGATAGAACCACAGAGGTCAATTATTTTACACAGTAATTGGCTTGTAATTGACAGAGACTGACCTCTTCCCAGCAACCTCACATCTGGTTTCTTGATAGTAACCCAGACTTTTGTCTGTGAGGTTTTAGTTGTCATTCTATGAAGATAAATAATTGTTGATGCCAGGCTGAATTTCACAAAGGGTTTACTTGATCCAATGAAATCGTGCTTCTCTGTGAGCCTCTCTTGTAGACTCCTTTAGAAGGAAGGCTCTTGCAAAAACCCAACTGCAACCTTATTAGCCAGGCTTATCATAATAGAGGCAGTGTGCTGAATGCTTACAAAGTAGCAGGCCAGATTCTCTTGGGAGAATTAACTGCCCAATTTCTAGTCATATTACAGATAAAACACACAGTACTTGAACTGTCTTCTTTCTAGATGCCTCTCTGGCCTCAGCATCTTACTATCCAAGGGTAACAGAGTCCAAGAAAATAACGTGTATTTAGAGTCTGCGGTACCCGTTCATCACTGTCATAGATTTTCAAAAGGGATAAACTGCATTCGTTGCAAATCTGCCTACATCCAATCCATGTTTTACTTTCCATGATAGCATAATAACATTTTGTGCCATAACAGAACAAATGTCCTTCAAGGCGTTTTCATGCAACATTGAAAGTGAATCATCAGACTCTTATCTGATATTCTGTTAGTCAGAGCAATGAGTTTATTAAGCCTCTATAACTAAATAAAATCTCACAACTTTTAAAGCTTAAGCTTGTCTCGTATAACTCTCAAAAAACAAAATTCTAGAGTGCCAGGAGATCTCAGCACGTGTACGTACGTCCCTTTCAACATTGTTTATAAAAGCCGAGACATATGAAAAAAAAAAAAACCTTCAATGTCCAATCATTGATACGGAGGTAGAGAAAATGAAGCACACCTACATAGAAGAGTATTATTTAACCTTTAAAAGGAAGAAAATCCTTCTGGCAATGGTCAATCATACCTATAATCCCAGCCTAAAGCTGGAGATCACCATTCTGAGTCCAACCAGCCCAGGATACAGAGTGAAGACCCTGTCTCTCACCTCTCCCACAAAGAGACAAATCCTAACATATGTGAGAAAGTGTATGAACTTGAGGAAACAATGCCAAGTGAAACAAGCCAGGCACAGGATCACACTTCATGATTCCATTCATAGGAGGTTTCTACCACAGCCATAATCTAAGAAGCAGAGGCTTAAAATACTCGTTACTAGAGGAAGCAACATCTGAACAGTTTTAGCTCAGACAGATTCAGTTACAAAATATGATTAAATTGTAGAGATTTGATGTAACACGAAAGTTGTCCAAACTCCATTCACTTAAAATATTGCTCAGATGTACGTTGTGTTCTTACCATAAAAGGAAAAAAGACATAGATGATGAAGCATTTGAAGAAGTTAGTCTGTTTACCTGATTGTGGTGATGGTTTCACTGGTATGTCTGTATTCCCACACTTATCAAGCTGAATACATTACAATATGTGCCATTTTGTGGAGCAATAAGAGCAAAATAAAATTGAGATAGATCTGTGTGATGCTTGGGATAACAACAGTGTACTAGTAGATGGTACGTCCAGTCCTTGTTTTCCTAGGTGACAATGTAGTTCAGGCTTGTTTTGAACTTTCTATGTTCCCCACGATGTCATAAATTTGCAATCCTCCTACCTCAGTTTCCTAATTGTTCAGATTATAGCATTATGCCCTGATATACAGATAATCAACCTATTTTAAGATTATACACTAAAATATTGTTAGTTCAGAAATGTCAAGAGAATTATTTTTGGAGTTTTTTTCCTTTCATATATTTTATAGTGTACCAGTTTTTAAAATATTATTGATCATTTAATAGTTAAGATAATAAATGACTGCTATCATAGAACTGCGAGACTCTATGCAAAACTCTTTGTAAACTAAATCTTGAACAAATAATGAATAATTATTGATTAGTGAATTAAAGATAACCTGTCACTATGCAAAATAGGAAAGATCATTGACATTTCACATCATCATCTCATGGACATGATTAGTGGCATCATTACATGGAGCTGCACAAGTGTGGACACTATGATAAAGTTCAAATATGTGCTGCAGGGGGAATATTTTTGGTCACAGATAGGTCAACTCTCTGAAGCAAAGACAGAATAAAAACACACAGACTATTATTTTTATAATTGCACTCATATAAAAGCCGTTAAGTCATTCTTAGCCTAATTATTTAGTAAATATACTCTTACTTACGGCTTCCATATTCCATGTCACAAACAAAGTGGGAGACTCAGATTTGCTCACAGGAGCAAAATGAACTGAATTTTCAGGGGAGATGACACAGTATTTCATCTCATTTAGGCAGGAGGAATACCACACAGGCCCTGAGTGCTAGAAACTATAAGGTTCTACTAATCCGAACAGGTTTGCAAGGCTATAGTTCTCTACCTGAAAAAAGGAAACCCACTTATATTTAAGAGATCCACATTGCCCATGAACCCACAAGTCACGAGCTCATACACTGATGTTACATCTCAAAGCTTTGAGAGAAGAAACAATACGAAATAAATTTGGTATTTTATTCCAGATTCCCTCCATACCAGTAGACCTTAAATAATTTAAAATGATCTTATTTTTCCCATGACATATCTTCCTTTCTTTGAGGTTTTTGCAGGTCTCATGCTTGACAGACTTATTTTTCAACATTTTTTCCTTTAAATTCATATCATTTTGTAAGTTGAGATAGTCTTCACTGACATTTTCCAGTTTTCTTTGCAGTTTGTTTTGTTCTTGAACTAAAATTATAGCAGATATAAAGCACAAAAACATTCCTAAGGAATAAGTACTGAAATTTTAAATAAAAGAAAAAAACCTCATGTTGACAGCCAACATATATCATAACTTTAATGGTGCTGTAGCATTTAGAAAATAACATCTCACATAACTCACCACAGAAATAGAAACATCAAATTTTTCAGTATCATAAACTTAACGTGAAACAAATATCTGAATAAAAAATATGGTGAAAATACCTTACTTTTCTATTCATTCATTTTTTTTCACAGTTAACACAAAATTGTCAAATAAGCATGAGAATAAAAAAAATTTCAGTCAGTCAATACTTAACATACCATGAAAATCTGAACTAAGAAATATTTTAAAAAGTGTAATATTAGTATTGGAGCAATTGAGATAGTCATAGTAGGAAAAAGTACTATCTGGATATGGAATTGTATATGATCACAGCCTATTAGTGATTCTCTGTAAAAATGTAAGAATTCAAGTGCAAGATAAAGCTTAAACTAAAGATCTTACAACAAACACAAAAAGATTTATTCTTTTGCCTTAAGCAGTCTTTAAAATAAACTTAGGAAAAGATCTAAAGAAAACTATAATTTATTTTGAACAGCTGTTCCTCAAAGAATGTTTATATCAGATTCACAGTGATCTGAGCTCAGAAGGCAGACTATCACTCAGTCCTCTGTTATCAGAAGGAATGTGACTATGCATAGGGTAAAATAAGGCAGCTCATCACAGCCGCCAGAGTCATCTGAACAGGTGAGAGGAAAGGACACTGCGATGTACCCAGCAAAAGAAAAGTGGGCCTCTGAGGATGTCCAGTTCCCGCTGGCACATCCTGTGATTACAGACCAGACAATAGATGGAGCATGTTGGTAACTACATAATTGGTGTCTAATGTTCTTACGTAAACCAAAAAGATGTATTTTATTTACTCACTCTGTGTCACCAATGCTACTACGACTGCCATCAGCAGAAGTAAATAAAGGACCCCGAGCGCCACGGCGACGTGATGCCAGGGCACTGTGCACTCTTAAATAAACAAAAGAAAGCAAGAAAATTATCACCAGGGAAAGAGCTTGACCTGCCACTAACCAGAACCTGGAACAACAGGGCAAATAAAGAGACAATCATCTGTAAAATTTTACACAGATCATCCTACACACTAACTGAAATTGCAGTGCCAATATTGTAGATTTCTGCCTGACATACATCCATTGTGTAAATTCTATGCACAGGAGCAGTTCCATAGGATTTCATTGTTTTATTGTTCACTTTGGTCTTGACCTCTCAGTCTTCCCCACTCAGCCTCACAAGCAGATAGAATGAGAGTCATGTGCTGCCTGGCCTGGGTCTGTAGGATTCCAATGGTGCATCTTTCACAGAGCACCGAAAACAATAGGCCTGATGCCTGTAGGAGAATCCAAACTAGAATGTGAGGTGTGCATTCCACCAAGAGATCACAATGAAGCACACAGAAAAAGGAAAGGTCAGCGAATATTCTTGAGAAATTTGTAGGCAGTGGTGGATACTCTGCAGCAGAACTGCGGTAGGGCCCATCACAGAATCAACTTACTGTTCTTTTCCATAAATTCTACTTTCTCTAGACAATACTGCATTAGTCCTTGTGCATTTGAGGCTTTTAGCATCTGAAAGCCTACTTTTGTTCACCACCATATAAAGACGTAAGTTTTCAACTTAGAGTTTAACTGTGACAGTATTTGAATAGTAGATGGAAATAAAAAACAGAACACAGCTCTGCTTCAACGATTTTGGCTGCTTTGTTATTATTAAAGTTGAATAAATAAGACACTTAAAAGATCAAACATCTTTGGTTCACGCTGGGTGTGGTGTGTGTATTTTTAATGCCTGCCTCAGGGAGGCAGAGGCAGCTGGACTTCTATGAGATCAACAGTGGGACGGGACTGGGGAGACCCTGTCTAAAAACTATACACACACACACACACACACACACACACACTCGTGTGTGTGGCTTCGGTTCAAGTATAAACAATTTTTTAGCACATATTTTATTTCTTTAAAAGAGTTCGTCGAGAACATTCCTTTACTTTAAAGGGTTCATGAATTTTTCTTGTCCAGGTTTGAGTAAAAATATCCTCATGGTCTCTCAAATTGAAAATAATTTATTCACTTCTTCATTCATTTTCTTAAAACAAAAAGACCATTGTTCTTCTACTCTGGCCATTGTGTGCCACCGAGAACCCAATGTGCAGGCAGGATACTGTTTTCAAACATCAAACATGTACAATGTGTAAGATACAGAATTCATCTACCTTTGTGGTCAGCTTCTCTGGGCACTTCAGTATCACCAGATCTTACTCTGTTCTGCATCTCTGAAGAAGACTGTAGAAATCTCACCGTTGTGTAAGTCACCTTCTGGTTGCTCATCTTGGGAGTAAGTGAAGCTGTGTTTGGTGTAAAACTCTTGCCTTGATTTTCTGTCTTTAAAAGGTTAAAATGGCCAGGCGTGTTGGTGCCTTTAATCACAGCACTCCAGAGGCAGAGATAGGTGGATCTCTGTGAGTTCAAGTCCACCCTGGTCTACTTAGTGAGTTCCAGGACAACTGGGGACTGGAAGACCAAAAAGAAAAACAAACAAACAAAAACATTAAAATGTCAACATTTAGGAACATACCAGGATTTGATGCGCTGGTTAAAAGGGGTGGGTTTGCTAAAGGATTACTGATTCCTTTAATGATCGGAATCATATGAACTGAGCCTGATTTATACAAGATACAAAAATCTTTTGATACTGCTATTTGTATCATTTAAACTTCTAGTAGTCACAATAATTAGAAAATGTGGAAAGAATTTTAAAATCTGCTAATAAATCATTGCACTATTGACACAGCCAATTTTGTTCCAAATATTCAACCTACAGAAAAACCTCAGGCAAAATTGGTACCACCTTAAACCATAGAAACACTTTGTTTTGTGGGGTTTTTTTTCTGCTTTGTTTTGAGACGGGGTCTCCCTGTAGCCCCAGCTGGCCTGGAACTCACTATGTAGACCAGGCTAGCCTCTATCACACAAAGATCCACCTGCCTCTCCCTTCTGAGTGCTGACATTAAAGACATGCACCACCACACCCAGGGAAAACAGAAACACTCTTAAACTATTAATTCAAATACAAAATTCAAAACTTTCTGAAAAAAAACCTTGTTTTCAGAACTTTTACATATATTCTGATAAACAAATAAGTGTGAAAATGTTCTTGCTGTCTTTTGAGTTACACATGTTTCTACCAAGCTTTCGTAGATGCTATCTCCAAAACTGTTATTTAAAGGTTAGTACTGCAGATGATTAAAAACGTGAATTATAAGTTTGATAAATAGCTATTGAATTGAAGCCCAAACACCTGCATTTTTAATTATGACTGATTCTATGTGTATGAATATTTCATCAACAATATTGTAGTCAATGATGTTTCCAGAGATGTGTATGTAAAAATAAAATGTGTTGATAGGTATTCATTAGCTACTGTCCATAACAGACTCATCTGATAATGGATACCAATATAGAAATAATTAAATAATACATACTTATAATTTGCATTTAT